TGGGATATTTTCTACACTGCAAAGTTTAATTCTCTGTATGTGCTCTGGGAGACAAAGCAGTAAACTGTTATAAAAGTGATTGAGCCAGCAGGTCTATTGTGGTCACACCCACAGCAGGAGTGCTTTCCTGATCGACTCAGAAATATGGGTGTACTCTGCTCCACAAGCAAAGCATTCCTCAGGCTCCAGCTGCACCAGTAGTCCCACCTCATGCCATTGCCATGGTAGTAAAATTGTCCTGGAAAGGTGTTTGTTGTTTCCTGTTCCCCAGGAAAAAAAAAAAATAAAATAAATAAAATACCAAACCACATGTTTTTACTAGGGAACTTGTCAGCTAGTCATGGACTTGGATACCTTGCCCTAGACCAACACAACTCTGCCAGCTGAAATAGCAGTGTAAATGCAGTAACATCCTGGGGCTTGTGGCAGTTTGCTTCTGTGCCCCTGGAACGTATGTTTCTGATTTGTATGGTTACCCGGAACGGTAACCCTTATTGAGTGGACAGGCATTGGGGTAAGTACATGCCTGCATGAGAAGGTCTTTTGGCTTGGCCAGAATAATGATTTCATGTTAATTTAAGTAAACTGTTGAAGAAAGTTACACAGACACGCTTATTTGGATGCAAACCTCATTTGTTTCCCATGAGTTTTGAATGGCTGCTATTTCTCTGTATAGAGTATGAATTTCACAAGTAATCGCCGTTCCAGGGTGGGTACTTAGAATTAGCTTTTTCTGCGGTATTTCTTCAGCTTAGTTTCCCTTTTTTGGGCAAGGCTTTTAGGAATTGGCTTAAATTTAGTCTAAATATATGATTTCAGATTGATATAAACATATCTGCCAAGGGGCTTACATACTACTGTAAGTTCAAATAGTGCAGCCAACTCAGGCAGGCAGGGTTTCCTAAGGAGGCTCAGGTTTGGCATCCAACTGCTACTGCAGATTAAAGGGACTGATAAAGAAAACTTTCATTTTATGGTAATAAGTAATGACACTGTCTTTTTTTTCACTCAAAAAAAGAAGAAAATGGCCTTTATTGTGTAGTTAGTCATCTTCATCTTAACCGTTTAATCTAACTTATGATGGAGAAATAGAGATTTCCAGACAAATGCATAGACATAGATATGTGGAACTGTCACTTTCCATTTATTGTGGTGATAAAATACAATTATTTTTAGTGAATAAGCAAGGTTGCTTCAACTCTTTATCTGTCTTGTGATCCTCTGATGCAGTTTCATAAAAGACTTCACCCTGCTCGCTGTCACACTACAAGTGAAGGGTTTGCCAGTTCCACCACATGATGGCTGATGCTTCCTGTGAGATAAGAGGCTGTTGCTTTTGTAACACTATGATGAAAATATTCTGACTAGCTTTGGCTGACTAGATCTCTGGGTGTGCAGGAAGCACCAAAGCAGTGAGGCACGTGTGCCCAGAGTCTTGGTTGCCCAGATCACTAACCTTGGTTGCTATCACTATTCCCTCCTGCTGCCTGGCCATGTTATTTTTCAGCAAAAAACAGCATATGAGAGGTGTAGCTTGGTGTGATCCCAGTCGCTGGGAAATTAACCAGGACTTGAGCCTGAGAAGGATTTTCCTCCAGAACTTTTCTTTTTATAGTGGTTACTCAATGTCTGTTCAGGACGAAAAAGGTTTGCGTGGCTTTCTAAAATGTATCATATCCTGAAAGCTGAGTATGTCATGCTGGCTAAAGCTAACTTTGTACTTTGGCCACTGTTGTAGATAGGATACTGGCTTAGGTAGATAGATCTTCTGTGTGACCTTGTATAGCCATTCTTATTTACTCATTTACATAAGGTACTAAAAGACAGAAAGATTATCACAGGTCTGTTCAGAGTATTATTATAATTATATTCTATATATTATTGTATATTTAATATATAAAATATATAATAACATAATTACATATGATAGATTAAGATATAATATGTAAATTATATATAACAGTATAAATAATATATAATAAAAATGTAATACTATGTATTATATATATAGTATTATTATAACTACATTGTATACAATTATATTCATTTTTTATTTCCAAAACTATGGATGGTCTTGTAAGGTGTTCAAAACCAAAACTATTTATTTATTCTAATCGCCCCAGGATGTGAAGCTGCACAGTGGGACCAGGGAAACTAGGAATTTTCTGCCCTCAAAAACTTCCTTGTGCACTAGCTGGAGGCACAGTATGCTCTCTAACATTGATTGGCATGTTGTGAGAGATCACCAAGAATGCAATAAAAGAACAAAATTAATGAGGACATTGTGACAGCTGTATTTAAATCAGACCAAAGGATCACTTCCCTTAGTATTATACCACAGCATTCCATAACATTTTGTAAGCTGAAGGCTTATTTTGTGCATCTTTGTGTAAAATATAGTGGTCAATGTTTCTTTTATAACTGCAGAGAATCTCTCTTTGAAGCCCACACAGGTATGTGTCATCCACAACAACCTGTGGCAATGAGTCCCACCATTTAATTATGATCTTTATGAAAAGCATCCTTTCTTGGGTTTCATGCTTTAAACTTGCTAAATGCTTATTTTATTGGGACTGATTCCTGTGCTATGAAATACAATGGAAAAACATTCTTTATTCATTTTCTCAGTACTGTTCGTGGCTTTCTGGGGCTCTGTCACAGTCCTTTCCCTCATTTGTCCCTTTTCCAATATGAAAATCCTTAAGCCTTTTTTTTTTTCTCTCCTAGTACGGAAGCCATTGCATACCTTTGATCATCCTGTCACCCTTTTCTTTATCCTTCTGTTGCTATCCTCTCATTTTTTATATGAGATGACTGGAACTATATTCAATATTCAAAATGTTAGGTAGGCAATGGATTTTTATGGCAGCATTATTGCATTTCCTTCTGCTTTTTTTCTGTTCTTTTCCTAATATTTCCTAATATACCATTTTCTTTTTTTGACAGCTGATGAGGATTTAGATGACATTTTCATAAAGCTGTTTCCAAGCTCTTTTTTCCAACTAGCAGTTAATTTCACTGTGTGTTTATAGATTTCCCAGCGTGCAGGCATGAGACCTTAGTTATTTAGCCATGAAAACACAGCTAAATTACAAGAGTGTTTTAGGTTGTAAACAGGAGATTGTTGGTAGAATTTAATATTCACTCAGTTCTACTCATAATTTATATTGTTCCAGGTTTTGATATACCAGGGATTTCTCATAAGAAGTATGTGAGGCAGTGTGAATATTTCCCATGGGCCCTATCTTTTTAGTGGGTTCTTGATTATTTTAACTCAACATTAATTCTATCAAGAACCTCATTCAGGAAAGAGTTCATTCAGTGACTTTTATCTGATAGGGTTTTGCTAACTTTGCCACTGTAAGGCATATCCAGACCAAAACCAAGGGAATCCAAGAAAATGGGTAATACTTTGCTGTACTGACTCGGTGGAGACTTCATCCCATAGTCTTCAATATCAGATAGAGATGCACAGCCCTTCAATTTCTTTCATAGCTGAAATGTGTTATTACTATCACAGTGGTTGCTAAAATGGAGTTCTGGAGCTTAATGAAATCTGGAATTAAATAAATCACCTCAGGATTCTTAAAACCTAGCTGTGAAAGATCTTTAAATAGTTGTTTCTAAAAGAAGTGCTGATAGAATAAATACATTACTGCGAGTCAATCAGTCTCATCTCTGACTTTAAAACAGTTGCTGTGTTATATTTAAAGATCATTGTCAAAAATTCCTTAATGGGCTAAAAAGACCTCACTATCATATCACAAGGAGAGCTCATTTTTAAATGAGGTTTTTCAGCACTCTCCTTTCATGAAGTATAAGTCATTTGACTTTTTGCTTGTTAATGTAAGCTCTTGTTTTCAAATTTACTCAAGTACAGAAGCTAGAGATGCATTAAGATTTTCTGTTAACACAGTTTTCTTTGAGAAGGAGTTCTGTTCCTTACTGATTTTATTTATTCCTATGCATTATAGGCAGAGTTTTCTTTGTAAGGCTTTTTTTCCCATTCCAGTCTCAGTCCTGCTGGTCTTAGAGAGATCCATGGTGGAAACATTACTTTATAGCTGTGGTGGGTTGACCTTGGCGAGCAGCCTTATGCTTGCTCACTTCGCCTTCTCAGCAGAACAGGGGGAATAAATACATAAGAGAATCTTATGGGTTGAGATAATGACAAGGATATAACTCACCAGTTACCTCCATGGGCAAAAACCCAGATGACTTGGGAAAAATAATTTAAATTATTGCCAATTAAAAATAGAGTAGGATAGTGAGAAACAAAGACAACACTAAAAACACCTTCCCCCTACCCCTTCTTTTTCTCAGGATCAACTTCACTTCTACATTTCCAGCTCCTCTACCTCCTCCTCCCACAGTCTGCATAGATGGAAGAACTGGTCATCTCCCAGTCTTTCAGTTTCATTTTGATTTAGAGAGCTGAGATGTCTCCTTGACTCAGTCAGCTGTGCTGTCCATTAAGGGCAACTGGAAATTACAAAACTGGAATTGAAATGCGGAGTAACATTTTCAGTAAAAAGGAACATCCTCAGCTATTAGATCACCAGTGAGTCCAAATACATGAACTAGTCCAAAAGACAGCTAACAAACTCTAGTCAATTGTTTGAAAGATGTGATTTTATATGCCTGCTTTGGAAAGTCATTTACTCCAGCATATTGGTTTGTTAAACCAGAAGGAGACAGACCTCTTTCATTTTCACTGTTCTCTACAACTGGAACATCTTAGAAATGTAGGTATGCAAGAGAATAAATTAAATAATTACTCTTCTCATTGTTCTGATTCCCTGTGCACTCCGGGAAGCCTGACCTGAGCAGTTTGGCTTGGAAAAGCCCATAAACTCTCTGCAGATTTAGTGGTAGAATAAAAAAATGTTTTATGAATAAATAACCCCATTAAATGGGAGATAAAGTTATTTTGGACAAGTTTTGGTTTAGTATTTGTTAGGTGATATAATTACTAAATCCTTGTTTATTCTTTTTTTCAGAGCATACTCAACACCTTTAGATATCTTCCTTGAGACCACGGAGTGACTGTATTACCTGCTCAACGACAGGAGTTTTTTAAATATCACTGGTCTTCTGACAAGTAAGTTTTTCATTCTCAGTTGTGTTTTCTCCCCTGTATTCCTGGCTTGTATTTTATCCTTGTATTGATTCTATGGACTATGGTATTCCTTTTCTGGTCCAAGTGAATACAAGTGCAAATTGAATAGTATGAGAAAGTGACCTTAATCAGTTTCAGCTAAAATGAAATCTATCAACATTACAGATATAACCGAGGTTAAGTACTACCCTACCTGATTATTACAGCTTGTAATGCCAGTGGGACTCCAGTAGTCATATCTCTGGAATTTTTGAGGCTTTTTCCTGGTAGAGGTTAACTGGTTAAAACTTATTTATTGTCACTAGAATTGTGTGGCATCAGGATCAGGAAATGCTTATCCATTTGCAGTTAGGCTCTTCTTTTACTTCTTGAGAGCCTCCAGACATTCATAGGAAATGTGACCCTAATATTTGCCAGGATTCACGTGGATACAAAAATGGTCTTCATACACCTCCTTTGCCCTTTTATTCTCCTGTGGTCCCTCTGCCTGTCTTAGTCTTTGAAAGGTTGAACTGTTTAGTCTCAGACTTATACTATGTCAGGAGTTTTCTGACACTGCATCTAAATCAGTGCTTTTCAGGCATTTTGGCCATAGCCATTTTGTACATAGCCAAACTTTTGGGTCTTATTTGGGGTCTGAAAGGAACACAGGGTCTGAATCCATCGCTTGTTACTATACGATCTCTTTTCTAATTATCTACACTTCTCTGTGGTTCGTTTTCCTATCTGGACCATAACGTGTCAGAGATGTGTATAACAATACAAGCTTCCATATCTACTTAATTGACCATTCAATTGAATTTCACGAAGAGGTAAGACAGACAAGAGCCAACAGCTTTAATTCTTCTTGGATTTGTCTCTAAGATGCAATTCTGAAGCTCGGTCCTCTTTACCATGAAAAGCAGACCATAAGGAAGCTGAAAGTGTTTGACACAATGAATTCAAGCCTAATAACTCAATTATGCTACCTCTGTGGCATTAAGCATATCAGGACTGTGCACAAACCTGATTTATCACTTAATCAACCCAGGAAATAAATAATAAATAGTGAGTCAATCTGAATGGAGAAAAGGGAGGGTTTCATTTTGAGGTGGAGGTGGAGGGTGGGAAAGAGGGTCTGTTTGGGTTTAGGTAGATTAACCAATTTTAATTGACAGCATTTTATTTTGAGGCAGATGTTATAAAAGCAAAGGAGAAGGATAGGCAGGGTCAGAGCATAGGCAGAAGTAGTGGGTATAGAATTATAGTCACAGGGTCAATTTCCTCTTCTGGTAAGTAATATTGGAACCCAAATCCCTCACCTCTGCTTACGGTACCTTTCAGCTACTTTGGTTCTACGATATTCCCAGGCAAATTACAAGAGTTTACTTCAATCTGTTCAGTGTTCTGATAAAAAATTAACCCTACACCCTGTCAATAGAGCACATGCTAAACTAACACATTCACAGAAATTACTTGGCATAAGGTGTTGTAATTGAGGGCAGGTGCTTGTAGTGGGTTTCAACAGGGTTCACAATTAGACATACATTTTCAGCATTTTTGAGACAACCTGGAAGCTGACAAAATATACTGTCAATGAAATTTGCAAATGATACAAATAGTCCAGGCCACTTGCTATAAGAAGCAACCTGGGTTGCTTGGTAACCTCAATCCATCTGTATAGAGCAAAATACTGAATTTAAGGCTGAAGAATACTAGCTTCATTGAAAGAGGAATTGTGTTCTAAGGAGTCCTAACCTTTGAGGGAAATATTTCAGGAATCACATCAGATCAGTGACTCCAGTGAGAAAATTGATTACATAGAACAGGGTTGTTGCTTTGGTCATGAGTCTGGCTTCAGTGAGACTGATGTTAGAAGGCTGTGTTTTGGTGCCCGTGCTTTAAGAAAGGGTGCTGAACAAACTGGAGAGGGTCAGAGAAATCATTAGCACACTGAAGAAGATGTCTGCAACAGATTTGAAGAGCTCAGTCTGCTTTGGCTTTTTAAAAAGAAGCTGAAAGCCCAGTTGATAGCATTACCAGGGGAAAAAACAAGCAAGGAACATAATTGAAATCATCACTCTGTCTTTCTTTCATGTGTTTACTTTTTAATTAGTTTCCTGCAAAACCGTGGGTTTTTCTCAGTTGGTATTATTAAAGTATTTTGGTTTTCTGTCACAGTGTAGCAGTAAATATTATGGTGGGTCACCTTACTTATTTTATAATCTAAACTGGGAAGTACATTATTATCCAAATAAGAGTCAATGATTTCCTTTAACATCATATTCTTCTTGCTTGCAGTAGTGTGGACTGGCAGCATAGTTCCCATGTTCAAAGTGGTGATAAAGAAAGGTTCTTGGTCACTATAATCAGTCCTGTTCCACTGTTGCAAGAATATCGGACACCAGATTACTATGACTGCTACTTAGTTTACATTAGGTGCTTGTGTTTGTGAAAGTGAAGCTGTATTAAGTTGCATTTAGGAAATTATATAAAAGCTCCTGATGTATTTATTCAGATTCACATTTACTACATTTATTTTTTTTTATTTATTACTTATATTAAGCTGATTTATTAGTCAAATTAACCATTCTTTATACTGAGTAAACAGAACTGTGTGTTTCTGTTTACTGTGTCCTGCAAGATTTTAGAATTATCAAATTTCAGCCTCTGCCATGGAGCTTTTATCTACAGTAGAAAGTAAGATTTTCTGCCTTTATCAGCTCTCAAGAGATAGCTTTGCATGAACTAGATATTGAACAGAGATAACCTGAATAAAGTGAAGAAAATACCTTCTCTGCACCTGCAGAGGAAGCTACAGCCATCAAACTTAGACTGAACACTTCATCAGAGCCCATTCTCCCAGTCTCTCAGGCTTTCCAAACTGAGTGGTTTGATGGGCAGCAAACCTTTACCAACAAATATGTAATATTTGAATACTGCATGTTATTTAATGTAAATCAAGTTATGGAATTTAAGAAGTTTGGCAGTACATTGTTAGAATTTCATATTTAATTTTAAATGATCCTATTTTTAAATAAAATTATATATTTAATCTGAAAACAATATATTTAGTTAATAAAACGGTTTGAGCAAAATCCGTTCTTGTATTAAAAAATAATGCATTAATTTGTATCCCGGCTGCCTGCAGGACAATGGAAAACAAAGCAATGTTAAACAGAATTCTTATCACAAAGAAAACAAGTCTTTTTTCTCATTTAGGGAATTTCAGAACCATATTATATGGACACTGAGACGTAAGGGGGACATACTTTTTTTTATTATTGTTTCAGTTCTTAAAGACAAGGTAGCATCTGGGCAAGTATATTTGAGTTCTCTTTGGTAGTGTTGTTGATAAAGGGCTAATTGAAAGCTAACCTTGAAAATGTATAGAACTTCATCTTCTATGTGTATAATCCCACGTATACCATTATCAGAATTCAATATTTTCCTAGAAATAGAAGTTACACAATATGAAGGAAAAAAAGAAGCTAAATAGGTATGTGGTCTTTCTTTTTTTCCTGGAAATGCACCTTGAAACTGAGGTACCTCTGCTCTTTAATGTAAAATTCAGTTCAATTGAGTGTAATGGATTTACTTTCAGATATTTTTTTCTCAGACTTCTAGCAGACTTTCTGCAGTACAAAGCGTCACAATCCTTGCTATGGGAAAAGGCACAGGAAAATTCAGATGAATGGGGAAAGACTATAAATAAAAAGCATTAGCCTCTGACCCAACGATTGTCCAGTAACAAGTGCAATTATGTAGACAAATGGTGCTGATCACAATCTTCTTTCCTCAGCATAGAGCATTGCTGCAGAGATAGACGTGCTTTTGATGTTGGCAGGAAGGAATATGTTTGCCCACAGTGAGATAGAGCAGTCACGGATTGGGCTGACAGATAGAGCAAATACAGATCTTGGCCATGGGAGACGCTGAGCACCTGTGACACCTGTCTTTGCTAATTCAGAGGTTTGCAGGTGAATGCACGAGCGAAAATGAAGGGTCATGGTTGCCTGGTTGGGGGGACGGTTAAGGGGAGAGCTGAATGAAGGATTCCAGTTTAAAAAGCCTCTAATCAGGCAACAAATGCCAGTGGCACTGGACACCAACTGGCAGAAATTCCCCCCAGTTCAGGTGTGTTAAAACTGTATTCAGGGGTTACCTTTCCCCTCGGAGCCTTTGTGCCGGAGCGGGTATCGCCTGTCTTTGGTGCTCACACCCGATGCCGAACCCACGGGCAGCACCTTACCCCTGCGCTGGTGGGACACTCTTCACAGCTCTGCCTTCCTCCCCACAAATGTTTCTGTGGCCCCAGGCCTCATCCAGGCCAACATGTCTGCTGTGGCCAGGTGGTACCTGGGTGCAGGGGATCAAGCACTCACCGTACCTGTCAGCAGGGGCAAGTGGAACCGCCTAAGCTGCAGTTGCACAAGGGTCCCATCAAAGGGGTGCTCAGGGTGACAGGAGGAGATGAGTGGGCAGATCCTGCCAGGGTGTCGGGTGCCATAGTCACTGCTCTCATCCTCACAGTCTCTCGCATTCCTCAAAGATACCATGGGCCCATGTCTGTCTAAGTTCACAGGTGCCATCACCTCAGCTCTTCCAGTTAACATCGAGGAGTACTGGGAAGGCAAGACCTTGAGAGACCCTGGCCCATGTCTGGGTGGGCCTTTGGAGGTATCTGTTTGTCTCCATTGTCAGCCAAAGGCAAGTGTTGTCCTGAATTAGGAGCCTTGGTTAAGTGACTAAAGGTAGGCAGGCTGGCACTCCGTCACCCACAACATTAAAAATAGAAGAAATTGACGTCGCTGCAGCTGGGATCCCTGGGGCTATGGTGTATATCTGTGACACCCTGCCTCCAGCTCCTCCTGGGGCTCTGGCAAAGGGCTGCAAATTCCTGACAGCCCAAAGAATTTGGGGCAGGGAGTGAATATTTAGTGTCTTTTTAAGGAGGAGTGCCACCTTCAAACTATGATTCTCCCATTCTGATATGACAGGGC